CCGGCAGACACCTTCTGAATAATAATAATAAAAAATAAATAAAGTCCTTATCAGGCCCCAATGATCTAAATATAATCTGTGTGAGAAGGACCAAAACAGTGGAGAAATGTGAAGATAAGCGATCGTACTGAAACACACACTCACACACACAGCCGAAATCTCTTTATTCTCTATTCTTTAGTCTCTAGTGAATAGCTGTGGTCACCTGAAGGCAAGCTCCATTCCTCAATGACAAAACAAATCCCCACACAACCAAGAAAAATAGCCAAGAAAGAGTTTCAAAATAACACACAGTGATCCAAAGGCAGTGGTCTCAATGCTGCTCGATAGTTTTTTGTTTACTCAGAACCAAATAAAAGAGAATCTAAAAACACTTTGTCCGTTAGTTAGGTTCTTAAGTCGACGTCAAATACCTGCAAGACTGTTTACTCAGGTTTTTTGACACAGCAACCCACATTTCAATTGGGCTGAACGCAGTTATATACAACATGAAACGGCATTCACAATTTATTTAACGTCTGTAATGTGATATTTCTAAGTGAAACCAAAAATGTTATAGCTGTCAAAATCTCCAAAGAAGATTATTGCAAATAAAATCGCATATTGGAGTAAAAGAGGTAATAGAGACAAGAGGGTGGGCTCTTTTGACTTGAGACAGTTAGCAACCACCTGGAACAACCCTTAATTTAACCATGGTTGTATTATAGTAAAAGTGTAGTAACCATGTTTTTTGCCATATTGATTACCATTTGTATAACCACAATTTTACTACAAATATCATGGTTAACCTATGGTTAGTTTAGCAAAACCATAGTTATTTTGTGGTTACCATGGTTTCACTATACTATCCATAGTTTTTTTTGTTTTGTTTTTTGTAGTAAAACCATGAATAATTTTCGTAAGGGAAACTAGCAACCACCCAGAACACCCTAGCAACCGCATAGCAATGTCCTAGCAACCACCTACAATGGCGTTTACAATGGAAGTGAATCTGTAAATGTTTAAAACTCACTGTTTCAATAGTATTGCCGCAAAACGTAAATAATATGAGTGTTAACATTATTTGGTAACACTTTAGAATACTGTTCTGTCATTAATTAATAACTAGCGCAGGAACAAATAGCTAATACACTAATAATATTCTAGTAACTATTATTAACTAACAAGAAACTCTGAAGTAATAGCGCTCAGTTGAATGTGGTAGTTCACTATTAGCTAATCAGATATATATATATATATATATATATATATATATATATATATGAACTACTAAGAGCTATACAGGTTCATAATTAATGTGAATTATGCATAATGTATAATTAATTCTAAAGTGAAGATCATGGTAACCCACTAGTAATGACTTAAGTATTACCAAATTCTTCTAAAGGAACTACTAATTATTTGGATCATTATTCTAAAGTGAAAAGCATGGTAACGCCCTAATATTCACTGACGTCATTTTAAGCTTTTGAGATATATGTATGGTTTTGGGTAGTAATGGCTCAAGTGTTACTACATCATTCTAAAGGAACTACTAATTACTTGGATCAGTATTCTAAAGTGAAGATCACGGTGACACACTAGTAATGACTCAAGTGCTACCAAATCTAGCAAAAGGAATTAATATCCAGAATCTTACAAAAACCTCAAAAGCTTACAATGATTTCACTAATTACTAGAGAGTTATCGTGTTATTCACTTTAGAATACTGATCCAAGTAATGGTTACACTTTATTTCGATAGTCCACTTTAGACATTCTACTAACTATAAGTAACTTTGTAACTACATGTCAACTAATTCTCATTAATTTGGAACTACATGTCTACTAACTCTCAGAGTAGACTGTTAAGGTAGGTTTAGGGTTAGTAGAATAAGTTGACAAAGAAAGTGTTCGAAGATATTAAGCAGACAGTCTACTAATAATCTAATGACTGCTAGTTGACATGTAGTTGCAAAGTTACTTACTGTTAATAGAATGTCTAAAGTGGACTATCGAAATAAAGTGTTACCCAAGTAATTAGTCATTCCTTCTGAAGAATTTGGTAATACTTGTTTCAATACTAGTGGTTTACCATGACCTTCACTTTAGAATTAATTATAGATTGTGCATTATTCATATTAATTATAAACCTGTTTATAGTAGTTCTTGGAGAGGTATGGAAAAATAGAAGTTCCTGATTAACTAATAGTGAACTACCACATTAGATTAAGCACTATTATTTACTAATTCATTAATCAGAGTTTCTTGTCAGTTACTAGTAGTTACTAGAGTAGAGTAGACTATTGTGTTACACATGTGTTCTTGTGTAGTTATTCATTAATGACAGTGCAGTATTCTAAAGTGTTACCAAAATGACTTTACTTTTTTTTTTAAGTCATTTTAAACAGCTTAACAGCTCAAATAATAGATACATTTTAACAGAAAAAAATAATGAAAATGGTAAGTACAATGGAAAAGAATGAGGCCCACCTTGAATAGTCACTGTTTCAATAGTATAGCCACAAAACTTAAACATTATAAGTCTGAGCACAATTTTAGTGTGGAAAAAATGCTATTAACCTTTTCTGTGTACATTTATATCGAATTTTATAAATGTATCTCTATATCAATGCCAAAAGCCCCAAAACGACTGTAAAAATAACACCTTAAACAGCTTAACATCACAAATAATGCACACATTTTAACAAAAGAATGAGTATAAAAGATTTGATAAAATTACAAGCATAACATATCTGTTTTTAAATGCTTCAAAATGTACTTTTGCCTCACCGTAACCTTAAAAAAAGAGGAACAAGTCGAAATTATTCTCTGCAATATCATGCACAATAAGACTACAGACATTTATTAAGAATGTAAATGAGGTCAATTCTAGTTTCATGCTATATTTAACCCACAAGGCTAGTTTGTCTTAACTCTTATGACAAAAATAAAAAAAGCATGAGTCTGGCTCATATGACCATTCTCATAAAGATGTTTCTCTCTCGCTTCTTCTCTCTATCTGTCCCAGATTCGAATACCTCCAGGAGTGAGAGTTGATATCTGCTCTGCGGACTGATAATGTAAATTATGAATGCTCAGTTATGACAGGTGTGCAGAGAGCAATCCGAAACCGGTCTGCGGTGGAACAAAGCGGCCCGAGTTTTCTCCTCAAAGGAGCGTGTACTTCCATACCACCCCCTTCAAGCCACCCGATTTTATTTACTTTGAAACCGAACCAAGACTAAGATTGAAATGGAACATAAAATGTAAATGCGCAAGTTTCCCCTCCAAGAGAGGTCCTCGTTGCTTTAAAAAGCCTGGCGTATGCGTGCGAACATCTTACGAGCGGTTCAACTCAAGGTGAGGATGATGAATACCTCCATATGTTCATTTATTACGGCCATAACTAAATACACACTTTCTCTAGACATGAGCAATGTAGCTCATGCGTCTCAACAGTTAAACATGCTTGGCTGCAATACATCAACGTTTTAGACGTAAACTAGGCCTTTCTTGTTCCCTTTCACCACAATGTCACAAAATGCAATCCTCACTTCATCATGTGGAGAAACAGTAATCGCCTTTTAGCAGAAACCCATTATTACATTAAGCTGACTGTGCTTATCTTGCATGGAACTGATTTCAAACAACTGCAAATTTGTTGTGGGTTTAATTCTGTCACTCTTAAAAAGAGGAAACAATGGGCACTTTTTCCGTTAAGATGGAAACTGCACTTTAAAGGCTAAAGTCTTGACCTGCAGCAACAGTACAGATGTCGATGGACCATCATGATGTTTTCAGCTGAATTTGAAATACAAGGACTGTTTATGTCAAGTCTGTTGCACAACTAGACATAAATAAAACACACATCGAAAACTATCAACACTATTAAAGCTATGTCTGAAGCTATATCAAAATACATTTTATAGATTCATCACATGAACAATTCAAGGGTTCACTGTACTATGAAAAAAAAGAGAAACCAAGCTGCAAAAATGGCTTGTTTTGAACTTCCAAAACTTTCATCAGACAAATTTACATAAGTCTTAAAAGACATAGGAAAAAATGGTCTATTTAATTAAAATGGTCAGAGAGTGTGTGAAAAATTATCTAATAATTAATCCTAATAATTAATAAAAAACATCCTAATAATACCAATGGACAACTATATATATATATATATATATATATATATATATTAGCGCTGTCAAATGATTCATCGCGATTAATCACATCCAAAATAAAAGTTTTTGTTTACATCATATATGAGTGTGTACTGTGTATATTTATTATGTATACTGTATATAAATACAAACACATGCATGTATATATTTAAGAAAAATATGTTATGTTTATATATTAAATATATTTATATATAATTTAATAATATAAATATATAAATGTATATACATGTAAATATTTTCAAAATATATACTGAATGTGTTTGTATTTATATATATACGTAATAAATAAACACAGTACACATACATATATTATGTAAACAAAACCTTTTCTTTTGGATGTGATTAATCGCGATTAATCATTTGACAGCACTATGCTCACCAAGGCTGCATTACAGTAAAAGCAGTAATATTGTGAAATATTATTAGAATTTACTAATAATTGTTTATTAGTGAAGTGTTTTCTGTTTTTACATATTATAAAATGTAATTTATTTATGTGACTTCAGTCTTCGGTGTCACTTGATCGTTCAGAAATCCTTCTAATATGCTGGTTCGCTGCTTAAGAAACATTTCTTATGTTGAAAATAGTTGTACTGCTTAATATTTTTGTTGAAACCATTTTTTCAGGATTCATTGATTAATAGAGTTAAAAAACAGTATTGGTTTGAAATAGAAAACTTTAGACATTTTAAATGGCTTTACGATCGCTATTGAGGAATTCAATACATCCTTGCTGAATAAATATACTAATTTCTTTAAAAAAAAAAGAAACCTTACTGACCCCAAACTTTGAAAAATAGTGTACACACAGTATCTAAAATCATTGCGAACTTACCGCGGCAATGCACACCCTCATCATAGCCGTCCTCGCAGTCTCGTACTCCATTGCAGAATTTACTGAAATGAACACACCTGTGCGAGCCGAGGCACTTGAGGTGATTGACGGGACATCTCACCTTTACCTGCCGCAAGCCTGGAGAAGAGAAGCAATTGTAATGAAATCTTGAAATATTTGACTTCTTCAAACTACATTTATGCATTTAGCAGACACTCCAGAACAACTCACAAAAGAGCAACAAAGCAATTCATCATAAAGCCAACAGTAGTCGTAATACACAATGCCAAGTTTATTAGACAACCAGACTAGGAAGCAACCTAGAAACTAGTCTTCATATATGTTAAAACATTTATCACAAGTCCAGGAAAAAAGTTTTGATCATTCACTGTGATCAAATTTCCAGTAGATTATGCTGCAATAGTGTGGGCTTTAATATTGCGTGAGGTGGTAATGATGTGTGAAGGTAAAAATGTTTTGGAATAAAAGTTTGCAGTCAATTAAGCTCACGGTCAATTAAGAATGAATTTATAAAAATAAAAATAAATGGATTGTTTTTCAATACTGACACTAGCCTCAACATGCAACAAAGCTACTCAGATGATAATGTAAAAATCTTAAAATGTATAAGAAAATGTATTTTAAAGTGTCATTGTACTATGCTGGGAGATCTGTATTCTCGCCACATCTGAAGTCCACTATAAACAAGTATAAATGTTTTAGAGGATTCAAAATCAGATGTTGAAAGATTTTGGAATGCTTGACGTGACGGTAATGACAGCAGTACTGCTGACAGCAACTTTTCAATTATAAAGAATCTTTTGTGGAATGCAAAAAATAAATAAATAAATTCTATGGATGTTAAACGTTCTTCATGGAACCATCAATGCCAATAAAGAACCTTTATTTTTAAGTGTGGCGATGCAATAGAAAAACAGTTCTTAAATTGCTTATTTTAGGTTTGTGTGAATAACAATTAAAAAATCTAAATAAGTGAGTTTTTTACAGTGATGCCATAGAAGAACCATTTTGTTTCCCCAAAGAACCTTCCGGTGAACCATCCGGAGGCCAGTTGTGCGGGTAAACCTCACTGTTAATGCGTCTGCCCCCCATGCTGAAAACACCCGTTCGAGTCGCGCTCGGAGCAAGAATGGGGGGGGGGGGGGGAGACCCGGGGGGGGGGAAAAACCGGGGGGGGGGGAGAACCGGGGGGGT